GTTTAGACAATAGCTCATATGGTAGTTTCCCAAAATAAGGGGACCCCAATATAGACCCCAAAATACTAGAGTCCTTATTATGGGGACCCCCAAAAAGGGAACCCTTAATTTTGGGAAACCCCCATATTGCAACTCTTAGACACCTCGAAATCCAACAGACTTGGCTTCCGGCAGCTCGGCCCTCATGGCGGTGACCTTCTGTGAGATCTCCAAAAAACATGGACGCTGCGAGCAGAGTTCTGGTCAGAAAAAGAATTTAGGGGTTTTAGGGTTGTAGTAAGGGGTTCATATTGGGGGGGATTCCATTTGTTGGATCCTTACATGCTCTATTACAATATAGTAGTTTCCATTCTATTTTCCATCATCCCTATATAACCCCAACATATGGGTGGTTGCCAAAATTATGATCCCTTTTTGGGTACCCTAAATATATCTAAATATTAGGTGCCGTACTATAATAGGGATCCAAAAAGGGACCATATTTTTGACAACCACCCATATAGGGGTTTTAGGGTTTAGGGTTCTGGTCAGAAAAAATGATTGCTTTGCAGCTTTTGCTTGATCATGCCGGCGGTGACAGCGTGGTAGCGGCATTCATGGTGGGCGGTGGCAGTAGTTACAACGGAAGCAATAGCAGGGGCAAATTCACGGTTGCAAGCCAAGTTTCTGACCAATGGAGAATCAAATGGAAACTGGGGGTATAGATATTGGGGTAATATTAGGGTGATATAGGTCTATATAGTTTCTGTAATTACCACTATAAACCCTGTTTCCATTTCATCTTCCATTTCCTTTTCCATTTGATTCTGCATGATAACCAGGGCAGCAGCAGCTGTGACAGCGGGAGGAGCGGAGTCATAGGATCAGGAGCGGGGGCAGCAGGAGCAGCAGAATCTACTGGATGACAACCCGTGCTTGCACAAACAAATCCCTATATAACCGAAATATAATATAGTAGTTTCCATTTTCCTTTCCATTATCCCCAATATAACCCCCTTATAGCCCCTAATATTACAGATCAAACATCTTCCAGACAGCTGTATCCGACCTGCTGTTCATTCAGCGCGAGCCTCTGGTCCTCAGCCAGAGCTCAAGAAGTCCGCCAAAGCCAAAAGCACGCGCATGGTTGCAGCGCAAAGCGGACTGCACAATTTCCACTCCGAAGCAAGCACACTTAATCGGAGGTACCCTCAAGTCTCCGAATCACAAACTGGGAGTAAGGGGTGGTGTAGAGAAGGAACTTATCTTGATTGAGGCGCTGACCAGAAGCTGGACTGTTCGCATCATTATCTCCAGGTGGCTCTGCCTTCATTTGCTTTTTGCTTGTTTTTAGAGAGGGTGTTCATGCGCTTCATTGTCATGTGCAGGCAGGTTGCATCGTTTTGAGTGTCTCTGCCAGCGGCGTTGGGATTTCTTGCACATCGCAGCTAGGGACGGCCGCAGCTGGCAGTTCATCTTGAGGGATCTCCACAGTGTCCACTTCCTGGGTTTTTAGGGATCTTAAATCAAGCTACCATAACATGGGTATATAGTAATAGGGTTTCCTTGTTATAGTAAGCCACTGGATCAAAGTTTCTGAACATCAACCCAGCTTCTGGCACCTCTTTGGGCACCTTGGGCTCCCGCCGAGCTCGGCCCTCTGAGGGCACACGGACCTGGGCCCTTTCCGGGGTGGTCACCGGGTGACGGCGCGCCGGACTGGGCACCGGAGCAGGGGTTCCTGAAGCCTGCGTTGCTTGTGAGCAGCTCCAAGTCAGGACCTGGAAAGGCCCAGTCATGGCACATCTTCACGCTGAAAGAAATCAAGGCGCACTAAACCATCCCGACCAGCAGTCGCGAGACCTTCAGAATAGATTCTGTCGACCGTGATTTGAAACAAGGAGAGTCTCTCCAAACGAGGTTATTGAAAAAAACCGAGAAATGCATGACAGCGAGCATCTCTGAGAATATAATAACAAAGCAGCTGCCGGTTAAGCCGTCGACTTTCTCCGGATGGTGAGAAAACCTGGATGGGCTACCAGGATGGGCCACCGGGCGCCCTCCAAATTCTCCAAAGTCGCTTAGTGCTAGGCGCAAGCCAGCGGAGGTTTCTTGTGGCCCTGCCCTGAGACCTGCAGGGAATCTCCGGCCAAGGCTTGCAAGGATTTTCACCCAAGTACAGCGCAAGAAGGCCGAGCCTTGTGCATCAGCCTGCCTTCGCGCAAATCCCAAATCTTCAGGGCTCCGTCCTGCTGAAGGGTGCGTTGAGAATGAGCAACACTTGGAGGTCCATTGTACTTATAAACTACTTAGTAACTGTAGTTATAGCCGAAATATGTCCCATAATTACTGTATAGTTACCCTACATATAATTGGGTTATAACTACAGTTACTAAGTAGGTTATAAGTACAATGGACCTCCAAGAAACCCATATAATCCCATAAAAACCTTTACATACTATACCATAGTAGTTTCCATTTTCTTTGGGTGGCAGCTTGTCAACATTGCAATGCTTGGCGCAATGCAACTTACGAGTTTCCTTTCCTCTCCAGCGGATGCCAGCTGATTTCCAAAGGGATGGAAATTGATTGCCGATATTCGGCCTCAAACATGACTTTCTTTCACTGTAGTCGCTGCTACCTCCATGCAGTTTGATTCTTGAAGGGCTAAGGCACTTGCCTGCATGGGCATCATAGTGCTGAAGCAACCTCCGCCTTGCATGTGGCTGCTTCGAAGTGAATTCGGAAATCCGTCACGTGCTCGCTTTTTCTTACCGAGGGTTAGTAGAGAGTATGGGGATATATTATATAAGGATTACATAGCGATTTTATTCCCTTATTCCCTGCTAAGAAGCAGTAAATCTTGAGAGTTTACTCTAAATTAGAGCCCGCCTTTTCAACAATACCCATCATGGGGATGCTAAGATATTATGGTCTAGCCGGTGCTGCATACGGTGCAGCACCGGCCAGCCCCCCGTGCTTGGTATGGTGCTGGCATGATGTTCCACAATTACCAGCATTATGGCATTTGACTGTCACCTTGCAGCATCAAGACCTGCATTTGGCGGAGGTCCTGCCCGCGTGCTGTGTTGGGTTTTCTTTGTCCCATGATGCCAATGAATTCAGATCGTCCCCCTCCTCCTGTGGTAGGTGTCTCTCCCAAAACTGTCAAACCTCCTCCTCCCCGCGCGATGTGGTTGTCCTCCTCCCAGAATTTTGATCCCCGCTCATCCCGTGTGGTCTGGGCGCTTTTCTCTCCCCGCTGCGCCATCCTGTAACTGTTGGCATGTTTGGGATCTGGCAATTCGCGGATCGGGAACAGGACGCCAACCGTCCCTGTGACTGTTGGCGCTGTTGAGATTCGCGACATCAAAAAACAACGACAGTTTCAAGAATGACCTGGACACCCACCATCCCTGTGACACTTTTGAGAGGCCTGGGCTGGGGGTCAGCAGACCATACCATGGGGGGGCGTTGTCAACAAGGGACACAACACCATACGACATCTGTTTGGGGCGCTTATTTCTGGAAAGCTCCAAATCTCAGGCAACATCCCGGACAGCTCACATAGTAGATGAGCGTCCGGCGATCGCAAGTCCCAAAGCTTGATGCAGCCATCGTGGCCGCAGGCTGCTACGCAAGACCTGTTTGCACAGTGCCACCACTTGGCCCTTTGCAAGAATTTTGAAAAGCTTGTGGAAGCGCTGGGCGTCGAACCCATCAGGATGGAACTTGACCTTGGCTACCGGAACCTCGAAATCTGGGAAGGTCATGAGCGTAGCCTCGGGCGTCAAACACAACCAGCTTCCTTGGGCTGGGCAGCTCTGGCCTTTTTGTCGACATCCCAAACACGAACGACGCGATCCTACTTGCCAGGTGCATGGAGGCCACCTTGCGACCTGCATCTCACGCAGCAATTGACAGACGGTCCTCACCACCGGAGGCAACCAGCTCTGAGTTCTTGGAGAAGTCTGCGGAGTACACCTGACAAGGCTTTTTGCACGCTTAGCAAAGGACGCGCGTCCGAGCATGAGCTAAGACATTGAAGTAGAGGCGCCCAGTTCGTATGCCCCAGCAAAGAGGCATGAAATCGCTGGGACGCCACTGACCACCTTGGCTCAGAAGGACACTGTGCGCTGGCGCTAACGTTCCTCACATCTAGAATCTAGGTAGCCCGAAAGTGGTAGTTTCCCAAAACAGGGAGACCCCAATATAGATCCCAAAATACTATAATCCATATTCTGGGGACCCCCCAAAATGGTACCCCCAATTTTGGGAAACCCCCATATTATAGCCCCTGTAGATCCCCCAATACTGTAATCTTTATTACGGGCACCTCCCAGAGGTGTCCCGAATTTGGAAAACCCCCTAAACCCTAAACAGTAGCTTCCATTTTCTTTTCCATTACCCCTATATAAACCCCATATAATCCCTATATAATCCCCATATAAATCCGGTGCGTTTAGGTAGCCGACAGCTTGATGGTCTTGTCATCAGACGCAGTGAGCAAGATGGAGTCGTCTCTCGAAAAGCAAACGCTTCGCACTGGAGCAGTATGCACCTGAAATCCAGGGTCGAAAAATCCCAGAGCCAGTAGGGAATAGGGAACCTTTAACGGGACATAGGGATAGAGGAGGATATGTAGGGAAGTATAGGGATGCTCAGTGGAGAGGGGATAGATACGGATGTATAGGGATGTACCGGGATACCTACGGATAGCTACAGATATGTAGGGATATGAGCTGTAGTCTAAACTCCGAGTATCCCCCTTACCCCTATACAATCCCCTATATACCCACCCTTGAAGGAGTTTAGACTACTGCTCATATATCGGGGCTTGGTGAGGGCCTTCATCACCTTGGAGTCTCCCTGCGCGGAGTTGGTCCATAGCCGCACCTTCAGTGCTGCATGCTGCTGTGCTATCAGGGGTATACAGGGTAGTACAGGGGCAATAAAGGGTTGTATAGGGGCTGTTTGGGGTTGTGTTTGTTTATATAGTCGTCCATAGGGCCAATCATCGGAAACGACTTTGAAAATCAAAGGGGTGCGTTCTGACATCCCTCCTGGAAGTGTCTGTTCCCTCAATCCGCCATCGGCTGGGTTTCTGGTAAGGACTGCTGTTAAACTACTATATTAAGGAACCCCATTAATCGCTATATACCCATGATATGGTAACTTGATTTAAATTTGTAAGCTGCTCAACGGCAACCCGGTCGGGGAGGTAAGGGGTTGGCAGATTGAAGCTTGTTCCTCCTTCCCAACGAAATTCTGGTGTACCCTAAATAGTCGGGGCCGTATTATAATAAGGGCACAAAAAAGAACCACAAATTTAACTATCTACCGATTGTTTTCTTCTCGAATTCATACTGCTCGTCTCCTTGGTTCCAGCACTACGGGCGACAGAAGGGTGGCTTGTAAATGTGCCTCTCCTCGTCAAATCTGGTGCATTTGCACAGCAAGGCAGGCTCAGCTGAAGCCTCCTGTTTGATCCTTTTCTGTGAAAGCTCCAAGACGCCAATGCCTTGACGAAATTGTTTGTGCTTGCGATGTCTCGCAAAGGTGGCTGAATCACCGGAAGGCAACACTCAAACGAAGGCAAAAACAAACACTCAACATGCCAACTCATAACATTGCTCAGTACATTTTTGATGTCTTCTGCCCCAACAGCTCTCCCGCAGGAATTTGCTGTAAAGTGGTCACAAGCTCAGCAGGCAACTAGCTTACAATGGCTCTCGTCACATGTTTTTCACACGTGTTCTTGTGAGACAAGCCCCTGAACAAGTAAATGGGCTTTAGCCGAGCCACTGTCTGATCTGCAGAGGCTGATGCGATGCACTGCCCCTTAGCTTCCGTTTCTTGATGGCTTAGCCGGGAACAAGACTCACCGCAAAATTGCCGGAGAATCAAAGACTCGTCTGAGTCCAAGAAACGGAGCGGCTGACGGCCAGGTCGTGCACTTCACCTTTGTGACCTGAACAATTATGCCAGGTCTGAGAGAAGTGACTAGGAGGCAATGCAAACGCGGAGGCGAAGGTGTTGTACAACGGGGGGGGGGGTTGCTGAGGGCTGCGCCAACAAATCGGAAAGGCCGGAGCTGTGGCTTGAAGTGCCAGACCTTTCTGCAACCCAACCCGTCTGAGCTGCAAGGACTGTGCCGTGTTGTCTGCAAAGTTGTCATCCCTACTGTTGATACTAAAAATCCTGCATGAGCTTAGTATACCATAGTACCATAATTCACAAGGTATAGGGTACTTAGGGTCATGCAGGATTTTTAGTATCCACCGTAGTACACCGAAGCATGGGCAAAGAGGCAACCGTCATGAGCTCCGGAGATGACCTGCTGGATGGATGGCAATATCGGGGGTATATGGGGGTTTCCCAAAATTAGGGGTACCTTTTTGGGGGTCCCTCTAATAAGGACCATAGTATTTTGGGGTTTATATTGGGGTCCCCTCATTTTGGGAAACTACCATATAGGGAGAATGCAAAAGAAAGTGGAAACTACTGTAGTATAATAGGGTTTAATATGGGGTGCCATAGGGGTTTATACAATTTTCCGGTTAATTCACCGATGAGAGATCCAAAAACCAATAGCGACCTGTTGCTCCTCCGGGTGGAAAACCACAGATGTCACTGGCGCACGGTGCCCTCGGAAAGCGCGATCAAGCCTGCAAGAATATGGCTGCAGGACACTACCAACCTATCATGCAACATGTCCATTTACATGTTCTTTCTATTCTTTGTGTATTTGGGGGGTTCTCGAAATTAGGATCACCTTTTTGGGAGTCCCTATTTTCTGCGGATGATATTCTATTCCAATCTACGTCGGGCCCCCTAGCTTTGGAAACCCCAATGGCAGGGTACAACTCCGCACCTTGGCTCCGTCAAGCCACTGATGCCAGGCATGTGGCCAGGTGCTAGAGCTCCTTCCTAGAGGGCCTACTGATTTAAGAAGGATTTAGGGATATAAGAGGGTACATAGGGGGGATATAGGGATAGATTGGTATATATAGGGGGATGATACATAGGAGGATACGGGGATACATGGGGATGCGTACTTATACTTGTGGCTATACATGGCTACATGGGGATATTCCGGCATGCAGTGCTGGCTGACTGCTGATGACTGCTGGCTGCCAATCCTCTACAATATGTTGGCCTCATGGTGTCAATCGTTTCAGCATGCCATCGTCTTAGCTCGTGAAACAGGTCCTACATCTCGTTGCCATGACCTTGCTACCCCAGCAGCTACCCAGCACTCCGCCAGAGTGTTGAAGCTGACGTACGGTGTGCCAGTCAGAGGAATGAGATTGCACTTGCAGGACCGATTCTAGCCTCAACAGTCACAACAACAACAACAACTGCAACAACCAGAGCTGCAACAACAACGACATGTCCTGTGTCGTCCAGCTGGCATGCGAGCAGCCCAGATATCGCCACTTGATTTTTTGCTTGTGCATGCCAGCGTTCATGGTCTTGCCAACTCATTGCTCCACATTCATTCAGCAGTCTTTTCCGATTTTGTCTTGATGTGGGGGCGCTCAATGTTACTGCACACACAGGCGGGACCTGGATGAGCGGAGCCGTATTCTGTAAATCCCCTGTGGGGTCCTCTTCGCCATCTTCTGGTGACGCGTCGACATGCGGTCCAATTGCACGAAGGCTGAACTTCGTGAATACTAATTACTAATGCTCATCGTAGCAGTTTCGGCACTCACCGCCGTAGTACTCGCAGCCCCGATTCCCACATCCATGGATGCATGCATCCCACTCTCCTGTGGCTGGTCTGGTGTAGTCCATGTCATACAAGTCATCGTCCAGCTCGTACTCACTGTCATCTTGATCTTCTTCACTTTCAGGCTCCACATCGCAGCGAGCTCCTCGAGTCTTTTGAAGCACGGCGTAGATTTCAGAGCCATCCTGTAGTCCGACCTCTTCCAGAACACTGCCACCTGGAATCAGCTCGCCTCCAACATGAAGCAGTTTCTGTAGGTCTCCTTGGGCCTTCAGCTGATTCTTCACTGCATCTTTCACTTGGGTGGTGGTCCATGTTTTGGGACAGGTCAGGTGCCACTGCTGCAAAATCTCCCCAGCAACATAGAGGATCCGAAGTGACAGATCCTTTTGCGGTGCCTCCTTTGGACCCGTCTTTGCCTTTGCAGCCGACTTCGCAACCAACTTCGCAGCAGGGCGTTTCATGGTGAGGTGGTGACACTGGTTCAGTTAGTTCTTGCATGTGCCTGTCCAGGGTTTCAAATGGCTGTGGCAACGCGAGAAGGCTACGTCGCTAGGTGAGGTGGTATTTTCACCCGCCTTACACTGGCTTACAGTTCATGTCCTACATGACACGAACCTAACCTGTTGCCCTGAGAAATTAATTTGAGATCGTCTAATCCTGCTGAAAACTGGAAGAGGCTGGCCTTGATGTTCAACATGTGTGCAACTTCGTGAAACCTTGGGTTCTGATCTCTTTGAGCAATTTGTACAAATTCACAAGACGCCTCCAAGTCAGGTCACCAAGTCTATGTCAGAAAACCACAGCCCCCATTTCAAGTACGACACTGTGAAGACTCTGCAACCTGCTTACAGTATTTTGCAGTATACTCCCTCAGCCATCAGCATCAATTCGCATCATGAGATCTTCAGTGCTGCAGCAATTCTTAGACTCAGACCTTTTCCACGTCTTTGCATCGTATTTGGAGGCCAGGGGTGTCGGGTTAACTTGCTGGAGAGGGAGCTCCCTTGCTTCACGATCTCTGCAACTGTCACAGCAGCAGGAACCGCGACACCGCCAAGAAAGCCATGGCATTTACAAGCAGAGCCCTCCAGTAGTTTGCTACTCATAGGAGACCATGGAGTCTTATAATAAGCACACTGCCTGGAGGGACTAGCAGCTAGCTTGAATTTGTTGCACATCGTAAACACTCCAGAAGCATCCTTCTCGCCATGTTTCGGCGATGCAGGGAACTATTGCTCTAAGGTTGAAACCATGGGCCCCTAGTATGGGGGATCCTGGTATACCTACTATATACCCTGTATGTCCCCTTAAGGGTCCCTAGAATCCCCCTAAAAGGCCTAAGGTCCCATACTTCTACCCTTAGAATTGCGCTTCAAGCACCAGAGCCGCGGCACTATCAGCTCTCAGTGCAAGCTGGGCATCTGGCAGAAACAAACCAGACCACTCTTGTATATTATAGTATATTAAAGCATATTATTAACAATGAACATGGAGCACCAATCCTTGCCACATGACCAGCAAAGGCTACTTCTTCAGATATCCGTTGCCATTGTAATAGCTGGACGTGAGCTGCTCATACCAGATCTGGTACCTGGACGGAAAAGATCGAGTGCAATTAAGGTTGTTAAGGTTGAACCGCCGGCTGGCATGTTAATGTGAGCCTTTTTTTGCTCTCCGCCGTCCACAATTCAAGACCCATGAACAGCCTGTAATTGTGCGTTTGGCGGAGGCGCCTCATGACCGCGCCCATGAACGTATCTACCAGAAGATACCAGCCCAGATCAAGCAGAGAGGCTGATTTCAGTACAGGAAAGCTGCCCTTCCGTCACATTCGGATCTGCCAGTGCTTCAAGAGCTTCTTCCCCCCAGGACGAGGTGTCCAAAACCTTTGGATTTGTCGCTATGGTTTCTCGGGACCGTGCTCATCGATTGCTGCGCTGCTCAACCAAACTTGTCCGGCCTGTACTGCTTGCGGAGGGGGCATGGGCGTGAAGGAATGAACCCAAACAAAGACGCAGGCAGCAGTTTTGAGATTGCTCCAGACTCCTGCACCATTTGGCTGCCACTATCCCATTTCATCCGGCTTTTCAGCAGCTTCACCGTATTTGCAGTCCAAGAGAATGTCCAAAGCATCCTGGTCTTCAGCTGCACGGGCAAGGAAGCCGTGGAGATGAAACATGCCCACCCGACTAACCAGAGGCCCCCCAATAAACCCCCTCATCCCTAAACCCTGAACAGTAGCTTCCATTCTCCTTTCCACTATCCTGTTTCATCCCTACATTATATCCCTATATATCCTATATAATCCCTACATTTCCCTATATAACCCACTGTCCTTGGGGCTGGACCAGCCCACCTCCTCCAAAGCAAGCTCGGCCTGTCTTCGACCTCAGAAGGCCACAGCAGCAGTCTGCTCCGAAGCAAAATAATAGGAGTAGTAAGAAATAGTAATAGTAATAGTAATAATCCGCCGACCCCGCTCTGCG